GAGAAATTTCCTGACAGTTAGAACAATTAATCAGTGGAACAGAAATTGCCTCCAGAAGTTGTGAATGTCCCAACACTGGAAGTCTTTAAGAAGATGTTGGATAGCCATATGTCTGAAACAGTACAGGATTTCCTGCCTAGGCAGGGGGTTGGACTAGAAGACCTCCAAGGTCCCTTCCGACTCTGTTATTGTATTGTATTAACTTTAAAAATGGGGGGGGGGACACACAAAAAAAGAAAAAACGAGACAAACGTAACAATATAAAATAGTTGTACAGCCTATCTGTGTTGCTTAACAGCACAAAACTTTGGGCTCCTTTGTTGCCGTAAATTGAGGAGTGCCTGTAATCTGCCCTCCATCTGGCAGCCCAAACAAAGAGGAAGCAGGAAAGTGGGACGCAGGCCGAATGCGGGAGGGCGGGGAAGGCAGGCTGCAGGTGGGAGAGTCCAGTTTAAATGGGCCCTTTGCTGATTGTGACTTAAGGAAGAGCACTAGGTAGATGCATCTGAAGGGAGGGGGGGCCCTTGTGCTGCCCCCAAGCAAGAGGGGAGAGTCCAGAACCATTTTGGCCCAGATCCATCCCCGGGGAGGAAACAAAGCCTTCCCTCTCTTCAGAGAAGAATTGGGGGCCGGGGGTGGAAGTGCTGCCTCTTCCCTGGACTTTTGTCCATCCAACTGCCCAGGTCACTTCTGGGAGGAAGGGGCAGCAGCTGAGCATCAGAGGGTCCTGGCAGAGTCCTGGAAAGGAGATAGCAACAGGTGCCTTCCTGGTATGTCACCCCAACATGGGAATGAGATTTTTTGACCCCCAAGTAGAGTCCAGTTGCAGCAAGCCCCCCTCCCCTCCAGATCACCCCTCCTTGCTCTGTTCCTCTTCCGCCAGTTGTTCTGACAGCTCTTTAATCTTTGCATCTGTAATCCTGACCCAGATCGGACATCGCACGAAGCCACAACCTGCCTGCGTGGAGCTAACAGCTAAACTAACCTTGGCTGGGTTAACATGACAGAGAGAGGCAGGAGCCAGGCCCGAGAGCTGTGATGGGCGTAGCTGGGAAGACGGTCAAATTTTCTGAACATCTTGCTAAGGGATCCCCTCTGTCCATTAAGCCTCAAGACACAACAAACAGGCAGAAAACCTCAACCTGCTCACACCCAGAAACCCCTGTCTACCCATATGCCAGAAACGGGATTTTACAAACCAGAGAAGCTACGTTCTTTCACCAGGCTAACCCTGGCTCAAACCAGGCATTTTGGCCTCCTGGGAGGAGAGGCAGGATGCTCACTTGATCTGTTTTAATCTCTTTAGAGCCAAAAATGGGCCCTGCCTATCTTTCTGGTGACACAGTCTGAAAATTAATTATGTTACACACACACACACACACACACTCAGAATCATTTTTAACTCTTCATATGCTTGTGATGAAATTATTTAAAGAACCCCTCAAGTACAATGGGAAGGAAAATTTCTCCCAATCGAACAGAATAAAAGCTTTTTTCTAAGCGACAAAGACTCAAGCATTGCATCTCCTTCCCACACAAGGGTAGGGGGGCTCCAGCCCCCCTTCTGGCAGGGTATTCATAGAGCAGCTGGAGGGAGAGGACAAACACCCCCCGACTCCCCCCCCCCCCCCTGGGGGGGGGGTTCAAGGAGGGCCGGGGGGGGGAGACCAACACCCCCCCCCCCCCCCCCCCCCCCCGCTCTGGCATCTGTAGAGGACGAGGCAGCTGTTCTTCAAGGCACCACTTGGGGGCCCCAAAGTCCCACCAGTGGGAGAGACTGCTAGAGAACAGGTGTATGGATACCCCCACACCACACCCTCATCCAGTCCAAGCAGCCAATGGTTTGCATCACATCCGCTGGGTGGATTTCTGCAACCTAAACATGCTAGAAATGCTGAAATCCCCTGCTCTTCATTAGTCCTCCATCAAGATCAACTAGGATAATTAAAGGCCTCATATGATTAAGGGGTTTAATGAGGAAGGGCTGCTGCAGGAACTGGGTATCGCCTGTCTACAGAAAAGAAGGACCAGGGGAGACAAGATAGCAGTGTTCCCATATCTCAGGGGCTGCCACAAAGAAGAGGGAGTCAAGCTATTCTCCAAAGCACCTGAAGGTAGAAGAAGAAGCAACGGATGGAAACTAATCAAGGAGAGAAGCAACTTAGAACTAAGGAGAAATTTCCTGACAATGAGGACAATGAATCAGTGGAACAATTTGCCTCCAGAGGTTGTGAATGCCCCAACACTGGATGTTGGATATCCATTTGTCTGAAACGGTATAGGTCAGTGATGGTGAACCTTTTTCACCTCAGTTGCCAAAAGCACTAACGTGCCCACCCCCATAATTTAATGCTCCCCTGCACCATGCCCCCTGCGCACACATGTGTAAACTACCACCCCCGCTGTCCCGTGTATGCACACACGGCTTTCTTGGAACGTGGGGAGGGCAAAAATGGCTCCCCCACACCGGATGCCAGAAATGGCCTGTTTTCCAACTTCTGGTGGGCCCGGTAGGTCTTTTTTTTGCCCTCCCTGAGTTCCAGAGGCTTCCTAGGAGTCTGGGGAGGGCGAAAAACGGCAAACCGGAAGTCCATTCCTGAATGTGCACTGGAGCTGACAGGGCAACGCCTCACATGCCCTCAGAAATGGCTCCGTGTGCCACCTGTGGCACGCGTGCTATAGGTTTGCCACCACTGGTACAGGTTCTGTTGCTTGAGCAGAGGGCTGGACTAGAAGACCTCCAAGGTCCCTTTCAGCTCTGTTCTGATTGATATAAAATCTTGCCCACCTTCCCCCTCCCCACAAATGCCCAGGCTCCCCTCTCACCGTTCACCAGGGTCTGCAAACACACAGCCAGTGAGGGAATCCCGACAGGCAGCAGCTCACACAAGGCAGAGTAGTGGTCATACCTGCACAGAGAATAGGAGGAGGTTGCTCCTTTATGACCCACTGGATCCCTCTTTTTGCCTATCTGGGCAGTGGATCTCCTCCTCCTTGCTGGCACTGCAAAAAGCAAGAATGGGGAGGAAGGGGAAGAGAGGAAGGCTGCAGAAGGCCTCCTTTCTCTTTTGGGTGGGGAATCTCAAAGGCAAGAGGGGATGCTAAGTTGCTGTGACCTCAGCTTCCCCAGAAAGCAGGAGGCAGAGTCCAGGCTTGAAAAAACTCCTTTTATTAAACGAATGTAAATTCCTCTCCTTCACCTTCAGCAAAAGCCTGGCAAAGAGTCTTTCAAAGGAATATTTATGACCTTATCTAGCTTGGAAAGCTGCTATGTAAATATTGTCCAAATGAGGTGCTGTGCAAGGAAAGTCTGGGCACAGAGTCTCTGGGATTCACAGACAGATCTTCACACTCCTTTTTTTTAAATTTTATTTTATTTTTGTTACATAGACAACGTAATCACATAACAATAGAAAAAGAAAAGCAAAGGAAAAAAAAAAGGAGTGTGAAGATCTGTCTGTGAATCCCAGAGACTCTGTGCCCACTCCTGAAATGAATCTAATGATCGAACGAATAAATTGTTTCCTGCAAAAGCCCACTCCCCTTTCGATCCTCTTTTATTTCCTATGGAAGGGTCCAATCACTCCCAAACCGACCCTGATTTCTGAGTTGTTCTTTTCTTCTGGCAGCTCTGCACATGCGCACACTGGGAACAGGCTCCAGCTGTTCGTCTGTTGAGCTCCAAAGGCAGCTGATCACTGCCAGATAGCCCTGGCTCCCTCTCTGCCCTCGTCCGAGCCTTCCCCAGACTCCAGGACTGGCCCATGCTCCTCCCCAACTTCCTCACTGTCCGACTCTGCTGCCAGCTCCACTGGTGGGCCACAACATAAGCCTGGGTATTTCCTCTGGGGAGGGCAGTGGCATAAGGCGTCCCTGAGCTCAGCATCCAGAGCCCCTCCCTCTCCAGTCCTCCCTGGAGAGCTAAGCCAGGATGTGGGGGGAGCTCCCAGTTCTGCCTCTGCCAGGCTTAAGCTGGGGAAGCGGAAAGGGAATCCACCTCGTCTAAAGCTTTGGCAGAGGGCACTGCTGCCCCTGGGGATGAGCCTTGAAGCCAGCCTGGGTTGGAGAAGAAGGCTTCCCCTCCAGGGGAAGCAGATGGAGGGCTGGGATTCCTGGGAGGCCAAATGGCCATTTTCCTCCTATAGAATCTCCCCCACCACCCCTCACCCCCCATTCCACTTGCCTTTGCCAGCCGGTGAGCACGATGCCCTGGAAACGGATGGAGGGCGTCTTCTCCATGGACTGGATGACCTTCAACCATCGCAGGTGGTTCTGCAGGTGGGTGTTTAGGGGGGTCCAGGCCTGGGCGGGGCCCGTGGTGCCTTTGAAGGCGCTGGCAAACCAGATGGTTGAGAAGCCGCACTCGGCGTATTTTTCAATGTACCTTCCTAGAGTAAGGACAGAGAGGCAGAGGTGGGTTCCTGCCAGTTCGGTCTGGTTCAGCTGAACTGGTAGTGGTTTGGCGGCTGGGTTGCTGGAACCAGCAGCGACCCAGGCCTGCCACGCCCCCAAACTTGTTCTCCTATGGGACGGCCATCTTGATTTTCAGTTCTGCACATGCGCAAAACAGTTGTAATTGCACACATTTATTTTTTTCCCTTTTATAACATTTTGCGCTTGCGCAGACCTATTTTTGTGCAAAAGCGCACGTGTGCACTGAACTGGCAGTAATGCCAGGAGCAACCCACCTGCCAGGCTTGCCTGGCTCAACACCCAAGAAAGAAAACCCCCAACTCCAAATAATTAGAGAAAAGGTACTTTTACTGGATATGAAATGAAAACAGCAAAAGTGAAGCAAGATCTGAGGCAAAAAAGTGTGAACGTGTACATATAAATTTGTACATATCCCTCCCCCCCCCACTTATCCCAATCCAATGTCCATTCTCCAACCCCCAAGGGTGTCATGTGGGGTGCGTCTTCAGGTGGCCTCATTCTGCTGGTATGCAGAGACAGTTGGCCTTGACCAAACCCAAACCCAAGCCCTCAGCATGCGCAGAAGATGGTGAGAACAAAACTCCCTCTTTTAAGATGTTTCCACCAGCACGATTCCCCTCCCAAATGTCATGTGCCCCTCCCTCCCCATTACTATGGCAGCCGATAGCAAGCATGCGAGATGGAGGCTGACACCACCCCTGCAGAGTGGGTCATCCATGCTCCAGGCTGCTCAGAACTGAAGAAGTGCCCATGAGCCCTCAGGGACTTTCACTTTTGAAGCGACATCCAGGGCTTCCCTTTCTCAGACATTTCACAGGGAGGCGATTGTGAGGGATTCAAATTAGGGGACTCCTCCCTGTGTGCCAACTGGGACACAAAAGGATCCTTTCCAGGAGCAAAAATGCCTTGTTTCATTCACCTGCTCAACCTCCCTACACACCCTGCAGAGACACGAAAGGCGAGAAAAGAAAAAATGGGAAGCCAACCTATTTGCTGCGTATCGAAGTCTGGCGCGTAAAACCACAGGACGGGAGACGTGTGTTTGGCAATGCCGGAATCTGAAAGACACAGTCTGTGGATGAAGTCGCACAGGGGACTTCTCCAAGTCCATCACCCTGAACTAAGAACAGAAGCCCTGCAGCCGAGGATCGGGTGGGTGATTTTCCCACCAAGGGGTCGACTCCCCTTGGCAGCTTCTCTCGGCACGGGGTCTCTCCTCTGCCCACCCCATCCCCTCCCTGCTTCTCTTGAATGACTGAGCAGCTTCGCGCATGTGATGGCCTGTCTCTCCTGCTCTCCTCTATGACCAGCTCCGCCCAGCCTCCCCCAATGTTTTCCTTGCGGAGCCACCCTCTGTGACAGAAAGGCAGCTCAGCAAATCACGGCCACAGACCTCATCCCACCGCCCAGGTGTGCAGGGACAGTCCCGAGGAAGACCACTGCGAGACGGGCAAGGCTAACGCCAGCAACAGCCCAGGAAAGTCCCAGGGAATGGCACTGACCTTGGATGGCTGCAACCCCAACCTTCCGCAGCATGTCGTCCCAGAGCAGCACCTGCTGCCCCCAAGGCTGGCTGGCGATGAATTGCACCACCTCCCGGATGTGGTTCAGGTACATCTTCCCCGCATCGCCACCGTTGCGACTCATCCAGTTCTTGGAGTCCAATCCTTCACCCAAGTGGAAGACCTGCAAGGCCAAAGAGGGGCCTGAGCAGTGCGGAGTGGGGGAGGGGGAAGAGGGGGAGAAGGATCTTTTCCCCAGCAGGCTTCGCCCTTTCATGGTGGCTGAAGAAACCATCCTAAAAACCATCGTTTTGAGGTGGGTTGAAAGGTGGAAGAGTTCCACCTGCACTTGAGAAAGATGGGTCTGTTATCAACCTTGAAGCCATCTTGAGAGCATCTTCAGGGCTGCCACAGCTGGACTGCTTGGAGCTGTGGGAAGGGGCAGAGCGGGGAGTAGAGATAGCTGGGGACGTGTAGCCAAAATAAAATTCTTTCTTATGGGAACCAAGGACACTCTCACCAGGCGTTGGGAAGGAGTGGACTGGAACTAACTGACTCTTGACTGTGACCTGATGGGACCATAGGATGGACATGTAAAGGGGGGAGAACATTTACTTTTAATTTGGGTAGGGGAAACCGCAGGGCTTTGGAATTTTGCCAGAGATGCCAATATGACATGCCCAATTAATCTATTCTTTGAGGAACACTCAGGCCTCAAGAGTTTTGAGTTGGGTCTGTTACTTGGAACCCCGACAGCTCTTCCAGACAGAAGTTCCCAAATCAAAGAAGAGAAGCAACCTAGAAAGAAGGAGAAACTTCCTAGCAGTGAGAACAATTAACCAGTGGAACTGAACAGAAGTTGCCTCCAGAAGTTGTGGAGCCCTCCATCACTGGAGGCTTTTAAGAGGAGACTGGACAGCTACTTGTCTGGAATGGTATAGAGTCTCCTGCTTGAGAAGAGGGTTGGACTAGAAGACCTCTAAGGGTCCCTTCCAGCTGTGTTATTCTGTTAAGGGCTTCCTCCAGCTTGGGCTACCAAAAGGCAGAGTGTATTCTCGTTCCATACCATCGTCTACAAGCCCAGGACCTTCTCCTTGGGGGCACCCCCTTCCCCCCACCCCCCACCCCATGGCTATCAAGCCCCATCCTGCTTCAGTTTCCTGCTCAGAAGTATTAAACAAGTCACTGAATGGATGTCTGCCAATGCTTGGGGGAATGATTAACTTGGAAACTCAGAAGCAGAGATATGCCCAACTGTTGTTTTTAACACATCGAAGAGGCTACTTTTAGTAACAGGCAGGTCAACATGTAACCTTGAACACTTTTCTAACAGAGCTGATCTCAGCTAATGCTAATAGCAGGATGATAAATAAGCATGGCTTGGTTCCCAAATGTTCTTGAAATTGCTAGAGTTGCAGAAATAAAATAAAATAAAAATGTAGGAATCAGCCTTTTAAAAGAAACTTTCTTAGAAATATGGAGTTTCTTCTTTTTTATGGCTCTGTTAAATCTGATTATAACCCCCCAGAGTATGTTTTTGAATGATCTTCTGTAATGACAAAAGCAGATTTTATCTATTTGTGTTGTGCACAAAGGGAAGATCTGTCAGAATGCCAACAAAACCTCATCCGTGTGTGACACAGAACGGTGGAAAATGTTATGTGCTGCTTTGCTATGTGCCTAAATTCCCCAAAGGGCTGCTGGAGAAAAACATCTCTTGAAAGGAAGAGGCAGAAAATCTGTTACTTAGTGGGAGAGAAAGAAGTGAGTTCCTTCTAAGGATCCTGAACTGGGAAAATATCTGGGAATAACAGAGCCGAACAGAAGAGTTGGAAGGGACCTTGAGGTCTTCTAGTCCATGCTCAGGCAAGAAACCCTATGCCATTTCAGACACACGGCTGTCCCATCTCCCCAAAGTTATTACAGAGAGAAGGACACGTCTTGCTGCCCCAAAATGTTTAGCTGCTTTCAAGTGGGAGAAAGCAGGAGTCTCCATGAAGCCATTTTGGACGCCAGGTAAGTGCAGGGTGCAAGAGGAGGCCCCGGGAGAGTGATAAACAGGCCTCCTGGAAGTTCCAGAAGTGCAGAAACGGGCATGTTTCTGGCCTCCGGAGAGCCTCTGGAGCCCGGGGGAGGCAGCTTTTGCCCTCCCAGAGGCTTCAGGAACGCCTCCAGAGCCTGGGGAGGGCGAACACCCCCTCCCCCGCTGTGGTGCAGGAGGCCGAGTGGGCCATGCCCACCATGGCCATGCCCACCCAGCAACAGAGAACCAGTTGCTAAAAACTTTCAATCCCACAACTGCCTCTTTGAGGTTCCAATGCACAACTGTGGCCCCAGTCAGGTTGGCATGAAGAATCTGAGGCTATTGGGGGGAGGGGGGGAATCAAAGTAAAATAGATATATTGAGTCCCACAGATATTTTCTGGACCTAGCTTAAACCCGCCACAGAAAATGGCTCTTTTGTCCATCAAATGTTGGCAACATGACCTTGAGGCATGAGGTTAACATAGGGAACAAGGTTGGGTTTGGGACATTGGCTGAAAATTGCACCAACTAATATAAGATCAAACTTTCATGCTTGCAGGGCCATTCTTTTAGCAACCAACGAGGGGTGAATTCCTCCCTCTGCCAAATTGTTTCTAGACAAATGCAGTGTCCCAAGGGAGGGGGATTCCCAGCCATGCAGCAGATTCTCTCCCTCTATGTACCTCATCGGCCCCGATGTGTACCCAACTGGAGTGGGGGTGCCTGCTGAGGACCTGGGTGAGTAGGGCCTTCAGGAGAGCCAGGGTCTCTGGCAGGTGGGGGTTGAAGCTGTTGGGGAAACGTTCTACCTCACGCAAATGCCGGTACTTCTCATGCTTCAAGATGAACTGCAAGAAAGAAAGAAAGAGAGAGAGAGAGAGAGAGAGGGAGAGAGAGAGAGAGAGAAAGAAAGAAAGAAAGAAAGAAAGAAAGAAAGAAAGAAAGAAAGAAAGAAAGAAAGAGCTGTTAGCCATGTTTTGGAGGAAAGGACCTGGGGATGAGGCCAATGTGGCACTCACAGGAGACAAGGCTTGCATTCAAGGCTAGAAAAGATACCAGCCCACCAGAAGATTGTTACTCATGGACCAATCACTGGAACAACAAAAGCCTAGAAAGGAAATGCTCCACCTGACTCTGTGGTTTCTTCCCCAAATCCCCAAAACTTTAACTTTAGACTGTCTACTGTCGACCTCACCCCATTCCTAAGAGGTCTTTAGGGGGCATGCATAAGCCCACCAGCATGCCTACTGTCCCTGTCCTAATATTCCCTTGCATTCTTATTCATTTCATGTATTCATAATCATGTTTATACTTATATTTGTTATCTAATTCGTGCTTGATGAAATGAAGTTAAATAAATAAATAAATAAATAAATAAATAAATAAATAAGCCAAAACAAAACTTCTTTTGCTCATTAAAAGGAGCAGGCATCATGATTAGAAGATTGAGCAATATTGACATTGAACGAGAACCTAAATACTCCAGAATATCTACAGTAGAGTTTCTCAATCTTGGC